TCAGAAAGCAGCTTCACTCCTGAATCCTCCAGGTCATTGTTACTCAGGTCCAGCTCTCTCAGGACAGAGTTTGAGGATTGTAAAACGGATGACAAACTCCCACAAGACTGATCAGTGAGATTACATGTGGAAAATCTGAACAAGAAGAACACAGTAACTGTGTACAGAATAAATCTTAACAGTGTGTTTTTTTTATTAACTTGCAAAAGAATTAATCAAGTATTTGAAACTCAAACCTCAGTATCTCCAGCTGACAGTTTGGTCTCTTCAGACCTTCAGAAAGCAGCTTCACTCCTGAATCCTGCAGGTCATTGTTACTCAGATCCAGCTCTCTCAGGACAGAGTTTGAGGATTGTAAAACGGATGACAAACTCCCACAAGACTGATCAGTGAGATTACATGTGGAAAATCTGAACAAAAGAACACAGTAACTGCGTACAAAATACATCTTAACAGTGTTTTTTTAATAATTAACTTGCAAAATAATTAATCAAGTATTTGAAATTCAAACCTCAGTATCTCCAGCTGACAGTTTGAACTCTTCAGACCTTCAGAAAGAAGCTTCACTCCTGAATCCTGCAGGTCATTGTTACTCAGGTCCAGCTCTCTCAGGACAGAGTTTGATGATAAAACTGATGACAATTTCTCACAAGACTGAGCAGTGAGATTACAGATGGAAAATCTGAACAAGAAGAACACAGTAACTGCGTACAGAATACATCTTAACAGTGTTTTTTTAATAATTAACTTGCAAAATAATTAATCAAGTATTTGAAACTCAAACCTCAGTATCTCCAGCTTAGTGTTTGGACTCTTCAGTCCATCAGAGAGCAGCTTCACTCCAAAATCCTGCAGGTCATTGTTACTCAGGTCCAGCTCTCTCAGGACAGAGTTTGATGATAAAACTGATGACAATTTCTCACAAGACTGAGCAGTGAGATTACAGATGGAAAATCTGAACAAGAAGAACACAGTAACTGCATACAGAATAAATCTTAACAATGTGTTTTTTTAATAATTAACTTGCAAGATAATTAATCAAGTATTTGAAACTCAAACCTCAATATCTCCAGCTTAGAGTTTGGACTGTTTATATGTCTTAGATTTATCCAATAAAGCCTTATTTATATTGAAAAGAGAAGTATCTTGTGTTTTGTGCTCACAAGTTAATGTCTTAATCTGCCGATCTTGTTACATATGCTAATTAATAGTGTTTTCACTATATTTTGGATATAAATGTCCATTGCAGAATTGATGTCACATGGCTCGTTCACTGAATCGCTGGCCGTCTCAGTGATCAGCCGTAAAACAGTGATTCTGTCCTAATTCCCTTGCATATTAATGGTGGAGTTCCCTTTAAAAATCTTAAATGATTCCCTTTGAGCTAAATTGACCTGTTTCCCTTACAGCATGTTTGTGCTAAATACAGTGTAATTAGACTTTATTGGTAACACTTTATAATAATTATACAATAACAATATCGAATATCTTATTTTAAAACTATTGTAGTTCATTAGTAGTTTATAAACTGTAGTTAATACATTAATAAACTATATACAAATAGTGAGTTAATTCATTATCACTGTAATTAACAAAGTGTTGCTGTTTAATTAGCTCATATGCAAAGACTTATATAATGCTTTATTAACAACATATTGACCGTAAATAGTACTCACTTTAGACTAGATCGTGGAAAATCAGAAAATATCATAAGGTGCTTTAAACCAACATTTATTGGACATTAATTGCACTAATTTTCAGTTTTAATACTGTACAAACTGTATAATCTGTCGCCTAACTCTACCTCTAATCCTAACTGATGTATTTAAACCATGTGATCTAATGAGTATTTGTATATATTTCATATTGTCAGCATTATGTCATTTTATTTTTTAAGTGGTTATGTTTAGGCTTGGGGATAGACGTATTTACGTATAGATGTATTTGTAAACATTTTAAGCAACTTTGTTAACACTATAATAAGAACAGACTAATAAAGTACTTACAAATCATTTACAAACTGTTAATTTACAGTTAATTATTAGTTTATAAATTGTAGTTTCTATGTTGTTAACACACAAAAAAGTTATAAACAAATAGTAAGTTTTTCGATTATTATTACTGTAATTAACATTAATTGTAATTGAATTGAAAGTGTTAATTAAAGACTTACATAACGTTTTTTCATCCTTTATTAACAACTTGTTAACTATATCAAAGTGATATATTTTACACCAGTATTAAATGAGTTGTTAATGGTTCATGAAAAAAATAAGTTATTAATTAACAGTAAATAAATGCTTATGTATAAAGTGAATTGATGCACATTTAATGCTTAATTAGTGTCTTTATAAACATTTTAGGAACATTTATTATTCATGGAATTAATGTATAATAAAGGTAGTATTAAAGCAATTAATTAATGACAATTAAGCATTTTGCATGACTTAATCTAAAGTGAGTACTATTTAACCCTAATAAAACATTTATTAATGATCCATTACTTTAAAAGTTGGCCATTGCTTAACCTTCTTTTGTAAGGATCAAAGCAGACACATAACACATTTATTTTTATTAACATGGTGTAGCGTCTCGACCAATCTGACACACTAATTTTTATTTTGATTTAACAAATCAATTATTCATTAGATTAACAAATCGTCACAGTCCCCTCACTCAATATACTGGATGTTAGGATTTCGGCTGAACACCATCCCCCAACCTTGGTCACCATGACAACTAATCATGATATCACTGGTTTTATGGCCTAAAAGGAATGCAGGGGATAAACTCCCTGCATTTTCCTCATAAGAAAGACACACAATGCCCAGAGAAATGGACTGTTCTCTAATATAACTAGTTATGGTTAATTATTCATATTTCCCATGAGCTGATTCGCTACAATGGCTTGACATGAGAAAGAAAAGATGGCCTGACAGATAGAAACATAACACCACCATTGGAGTACCACACACACACACACACACACACACACTTACTTATACAGTTTTGAAATGTCATGAATTATTCTACCAAAGGCCCCATCACGGTATTTCCTAGCAAGTCATTCATACCACTCAATTACAGTGATGTGATCAGATAGCAAGCTTTCAGTCCGGTTCCTCCAGATCTGCTCCGTGTATGTTCTCCAGGCTCTTTCAATATGCTGGGTGTGTGCACCTGAATGTGGGTCTACTGTACATACCACATGCTGTGGTTAACAGTATGATGATCAGACCCTAGAACTGACAGTATGCAGTGGGCACGCCACTCGTCACTGATGACAGAGGACCCAGGACTTGCATGATGGGCGATCAAGGGGACCAAGATGTCTTTGAGACCTTTTTTCCACAAGCTCTAGATTAGGCTTTCCACTTCCATTTTCTTTAGTCCTGACACTCAACATCCTAAATACCCACTTCTTTCTCTTGCATCCTCCAGTCATTCTTCATTCACTTATTACACAACATTTCAACACAAATAATTAACGTGATAAAAGATATTGATTTAAGATGAAAATATTATAAAATCTTACTAGTTTGTTAGTTACATCTTATAATCCATTACAGTGTACAAAACAATTATCGCAAAATGGCAGCAGCTGCGTTTGTATGAAACGAGAGCAAGTCCGTGATACCAGGATGTCATAATTAAATAATTGTACACATAATATTGAATTGAGTTTTAATATTTTATTAGCTAAGCAAACGCACAGCTCCCACGAAGAGAAACTGTCCCTGGAAAGAGTATAGCGCCGACTTCAGTTACCCGGATGAGCGTGTGTTATCAGCTTTTACCGGTTGTTATCGAGGAATAACATACCTCAGACTGACCAATCAGAATCAAGTATCCCACAGAGCCATGTAATAATCAACGTTAACATCTTAAATTTCAAAGTAAACCACTAAATTAAATGATCAGGCACTGATGGTACATAAGAAAAGGACAGTTTAGTACTAGTGTACATGCAACAGTGTCTTTAACAGTGGTGCTGTTGTGTGCACGTCCACTAGCCTGTGTTCTCTCTTTAACTCTTTATTTCTTTTTACATGATAATGCATAACTCAACTTATACACTTACTGGATACTAGAATAAAAACAAGGCAGACATTCATTTTCATAATTTTGATTTGATCATTTTGATGTTCCTCATGTTCCTTTACACCAAAAATTTTATGTACAATATTCTGAACCTGATGTATTCTTCTCATTGTCTTGTTTAACAGCTATCAAAATGAAAGATGACTCTAGTCATTCACAATCCTCTGATGATAGCTGTACAGACTCTTCATCTGAAACTTCTAGATCTGATTCTACCTCAGACACAGATACAGAAAAGAAAAGGAAGAAGAAAA